ATATAAACTAGCCTAGTATGTTTATATAAACTAGCCTAGTATGTTTATATAAACTAGCCTAGTATGTTTATATAAACTAGCCTAGTATGTTTATAAAGCGTTATTTAGAGCTTAAAGTAATGTTTAAGTGTAAGTATAACTATAAGAGAGCTTTTTATAAAAGTTCTAGAGTAATTTAGAGCAGGTTTAGCCTTATAGAGAATATTAAAGCTAAGTATAGTATCTAGAATAATAACACATATAACTTTAGCAAAATAAGGTTTATAATTAGTTAAATATCTTTTAACTATACTTGCACTTAAAACTTTACTTTAAGCTTTAAATAACGCTTTACAAACATACTAGGCTAGTTTATGCAAACATAGCCTAGATTATGCTTAGCGCGCAAAAAATTAGCTATATTAGCTATAAATGATATCTAAGGGGAAATTCCTTGCGCATATAGCTTAAGTATAGTCTTAATAATTACCTGCTTCTTTTTATTGCTTAGCCTTTATAATTTAGCTGTAGAATTAGCTTGTAAAGGTTATCTAGCGCTATAGTTATTTATTATCTTTTATAAAACCTTATATATAGCTATAGCATATTTCTTTAAGAGTTTTATGTCTTATTTAAAAGCTTAGAGTGTAACCTGTATCTAATATTCTTTTAGCGCGTCTAAGTAGTGTTGTAGGGAATGCATTAGTGTAAAAAGAGTAGTTTAGTAGAGTCTTAGTAAAAGTAAGCAACTTAAGTGTGTGAGCAACTTGCCTGTAAAGTACGTTATAAGATTAAAATTACTTTTATATAAAGCTACTTTTTAGAATTTATTTAAAAAGAAATGTAGTATAATAGCTTACTTAAGTTTATAAACACTTAGCTAAAGTTTAAGCGCGCTATATATAACACTAAAACTATTACTTACTTTAAGTAAGCTTTAATAACATTTTAGGCTAGCTCTAAAAACACTTTAACTTAAAAAAAAAGTAGTTTTACTCTACCTTAAACTTTTAATAAAGGTAAAAAGATAAAAGATAAAACTAGAAGCTTATAAGCTAATTACTAAGTAACTAATAGTTTTTAGTATAAAAGACTAATACTACTGCAATAACATCTTAAGAGACTACTAATAAACATAAGCTTTACTAGAAGAACTAATTTAACTAGAAAAGTAATAATAGCATAAAAAAAAGAAGCTCTAGTTGTAAATCTTACACACTTATAACTAAAGCCTAAATTAAATAGTAAACAGCTTTATATTATAGTTAAAATGCAGCTAAAACTTTCTAATAGTACATTAACTATTCTTTACAGCCTTTATAACATAGGTGCTAAGTTAAACCTAATAAACACTAGCATTATTTAAGAATATAGCCTCTTATATAAGCACTACTATAAGAAGCCTTACATAAGCTTTATTAATAATTACTAATTATAATTAGAATTACTATATAATCTTTCCCTTGTCTATATAGACAGTAGGGGTACTAATAAAGAAGTTAGCCTTTAGAGATTCTAGTTAGCTAATTTCTTAAGTTATAACTTAATTTTAAAGTACTTTTAGCTATAAAAAGCTAACCTTAAAATCTATTTTAAAGATAGTATATTTAAGTAGTAAAAAAGTAATAATAGTAAAATTTAGTTAGTACTTATTAAAAAGCTTTTAAAGAACCACAGTCTTAAAAAAACTACATATATACTTTACTCTACCTCTTATACTATTTAACTAATAAGTAATAATGTTAGAAAAAAAGCCCTCTTAGAGAAACTGCTTTAGGGACACCTTAAACCTACCCTATAAGCCTCTAGGCCTAGTAGCAATATAGTGTAGAACATAGAGTACTTTTATTATTAAGGGCTACTTTAGTTAAAGAATTACATACTTAAGATCTAAAAGTATTTTTAAAAGTATGTTAAGATGTTTTTAAAGCTTTTATAGCTTTTTAAAGA